TGCTGCTTGGAAAGGTACTGCACATGATAATAAAGTACTTGAGAATGCACTTGTTGAACCAACGTCACAATTTCCATTTCCGCCACATTCTTTATAAAATGTTTGTTGGTAGATAAATATTATGTTATTAATGCTGGTTTCTGAAACACAAAAGGATTTTTAGCTCCATACAAAGGACTATGCTATCATTTGCAAGATTACCGAGGAAGTGAAAGAGAGCCTCAAAATGCCAAAGAACTGTTTAATTATAGGCATTCATCTCTGCGCAATGTGATTGAACGGACTTTTGGAGCTTGGAAAAATAGATTTAGAATACTGAAACAAGGCATGAACCATTATGATATTGATACACAAGTGAAAATTGTCATAGCTTGTGTAGTGTTACGTAATTATTTGCGAGAATACCAAAGTACTGATGAAATATTTATGGTCTATGAGCATGAAAATATAGTTGCGGATGATATTGACCAACAAATGGCTCAAAGTAACAATGTTGGTTCATCTTCTCTGTCACATGATCGAGAAGTGCAAGTTCAACGTGAGGAAATTGTTCGTACTGTGTGGGAGGATTATATTAAAGACTAGTACACTACAATTTATGTTCAATTTTTTATTAAATTAAAGTTTGATGAAACAATTACTTAAGTGGAGAACAAATAGCTTTGTAATAATTTATTATGCGATTTTATAAATTTTTGTTTATTTGATATGAATAAACAATTGGGGCAATTTTAATAGTTTTACAACTTATGAGATTTTTATGTTTATGAGAAAATATACAACACAAAAATTTCATATCGCATGTCCAAACAAAATTTCAATTTCATCTCATGATACCATACATGGCCAAACGGGCCCTAAATAACAATTTCTATTTACAGATATAGCGATTCTCCAAAATTTGCAGGTAGTCATTCAAACAAGTGCCAGAAGATAGTAACTATACTTACAATATTTTATTTATATCAACTTGACATTCAATCATAATTATCTATGTATTTTATACATTTTATTTTCGAGACATTTAGAAACAAACAGTTTGTTGTGACCTTGATCTATTGTTGCCGCAACAGAGTTTATAACCATCTCATTATCTTATTAATCATGTCCTAGAATAATTGGATAAAAAAATATTTTCAATTCAACTGAAAATTATTGAGTAGGAGACAATTCTACAGATGAACACAGAAAAACAATATTTATCCATTTTAAATCTCTCTTGTAATGAAACAATTATTGTCAATATATGAGTTCTAATTGTTCTAAACTACATTCTATTTTAATGTCTAATCTATTGGTATTTTAGATGTGATATAACTCTTATTCACAATATATGTGTTTCTCCGACAATGAAGAATAAAGACTAACAATGCTTTACCACTTGCAACACATACTGGTACTAAAATAGTTTAGCATGAAAATTCTGCATAATAAATTTTCTGCTTGCCTATTAAAAGATCACATTTCCATGAGGATAGATATTCTAACTAGACATATGTTGTTGGAAAACTATATGCACAGCGAAAGCATATCAAAATCTTACTTGCTTACATGAATAATAGATAATCAATACCGTTTATGCTAGAACACATAATCATGCTAGAACACATAAACTTGCTGGAATTTAATTCAATAAATACCTCTTGAAGCGTGAACAAATAACTTCAAGCGAATCCACAAGTTAGACGTCCTTCGAGCGAATCCACAAGATAGATGTCATGCCCCGAGAGCACCCCCTAGGCGTAACACGGCGTACTTGACCCCGAAGGGGTCTTATACAAGCCCTTAGCATATTCGTCATTGCATATAGACATTGAAAAAAATACGGAAATTTAAAAACTTTTCAACATCAATGTCAAAGTGTCTCATAATAGAAAATAGAAAGTAGAATGTCTAGACATCATCATCTCAATGAAACCATCTAAGTACACATAAGAATCTCAAATAGGGACCATAGCCCTTTTACAATAGAATTGTCTCAAAATGAAAAGTACATAAGGAGTCTAATAGTCTATTACAATATAAGGGACATAAGTGTCATAATGTGTGTCCTCGAAACTTGAGGACATACCAAAAAGTCTTGGAGAAAGTCTAAGTCCAAGCTTGAGTCTCTTAGTAGCACAATCACTTTCCGGAACCTACACTTAGTAGAAAAAGAAAGAAATATGGGTTAGCACAATCAATTGTACTAAGTATGGAAGCCATGCAATTAAAACCACTTAAAACATGCATAAAAGGGACCTTTATATGAAAACATGCTATTTCAAGTTAAAAGCCATAATGCATATTCAAGGAACATTTAGCCAATCCATATTACAAGATAAAGAGACATTCATGTTCATAACAAGAAACCATAACCCATACCTTACATATTTGAATTCCATTTATATCATACCATCATAAGACACCACCCATGACCCTCCTTTCAAGTTTACTTGTGCAATGTACATATGAAGTCCCATACCCCCATATATACTAAGTAAAGCCATCAAGAAGACACAAGTGTAATCACTTACATAATCAACATCATAAGAGGT